ATCTCTATCTTCATTAAATAAGGTTATTATTGACAAAAAAAATATTCTTAATAAATGTGCAACATCCCAAAACGACTTCTATTTAAAATAGGAGGTAGTACTATTTTTTCTTAATTTTAGCAATTAGTGAACTGCATTAAATATGATTATATGAATAATCCATCATTCAAAGTAATATTTTACACTTGAGGGAGAGCTTTGCCGCCCTTGTGGTCCTACCCGGCTCGATTCTGGATTAGTCGGTTCCCCTGTGGATCCGGAAACCGGAAGGTCCCTGTACCAAAATAAAAAAAAAAAGTAATATTTTACATGATAATATGATTCCTCTTTTCTTGGTATCATTTTAATGGTTGTGTTACATAAATTCATTTTGAAAGTAGATTAATCATGTATTTAGTTATAGAATCTATATGATCATATTTATTCTTTTGTGTTTTCAAGAAGCTCACCTTGTCCTCAAAGTTAGTAATTTTGGCTAAAGTTGTAAATCAATAAATATACTACAAATTTTAAGTGCAATAAATATACTAATGGAATGAATTTAGGACATTTACCATAAAATTTGTACAAAAATTAATGCAAAAATGAGAGGGAAAATTCCAGCTGCTTCAGTTTAATATATATATAGATTCAATCTAATTATGGGATGATTAGCATGAACGTTGTTTTAATCGTTGATAGGATTCTCATATATTAATACGTAATAACAGAAAGACACAAGACCAGAGAATAGCTACTCAGCCGAATCTACGACCAACAACCAAATAAGTTGACAAGCTGACACTAGTAGAGAAAACTACATGTACAGACATACAACAGCCTAGAGTCGACCTACAACACAAAACACAACTAAAAACTCCCAAAATGAAAGAAGACAAAATCTCTCAACAGGAGAATACACCAAACACATTCCCAAAGGGAGAGAAGAAAATAAAACACAAACAAAACAACAAAACACAAATAGAACACCTAACCAAAACAACTAAACAAACAAACAAAGGCCCTCCTCGACAGTCAAACAAAAGCTCTGACCTGCCAACACGAGCAAGACACCCGACAAAAGCAACCAAAGCGAGTAAGACAACAGTATGGGAAGCGGATTTTGAAACTCCCTTCTTCCGAAAGAGCTGGCTAACTACAACCACCTAACTCCCTAGCCAAGCCTCACACCCCTACAATTCTCGACCAAGAAAGCACTCGGGGGCCGTCTTCCCAACCGACCCCATCAACACCTCAGCCACCTTTAACCTACACGCCAAGTTCACCAAGCCCAGCCCAGATCCCAACCCCAGAGAAGTCGGTCGAAGAAACAGACGAAGGTGAGGTAACGACCCAAGCCCATCCGTATCCCGACACAGATAAGCCCAGCAACGAGTAGGACCGAAAACTCGTGGCCATACGGAACGAGAGGGAAGCCCCAATTCCCGTCCACCTCGGCTGGAGACGAAACATGCGACTGAAGAGGAGGTGGAGATCCAAATTAACGAGCGAGGGTTTTAGACGCGGGAAATTGGAAAAAAATTAGAGACACGGAGAGAGAGAGAGAGAGAGAGAGAGAGAGAGAGAGAGAGAGAGAGAGAGAGAGAGAGAGAGAGAGAGAGAGAGAGAGAGTCGGTATGTGTTTTTCTAGCACATGATAAATAACTAACAAAATGATAATTAATTCAAATGGTTCCGTAATTCAAATGGTTCTGTACTTTTTAATTATATCTTTAAAACTATATATGTAGATTTACAACTTCATATATTTGCGTTTTTTTTTT